CAGGCATCATTTTGTAGTCATTGCAACAGTCCCAGCATGCATATTTCATTTCTCTTGTTCCTCAGTACCTAATACTGTGATGCATGCAAGGCACTCAATAAAAGTTAATGAAGGAGAGTTACTGTCTAGCAGAATGTCACTGAATAGCTACAAGATTCTGAATCATCAAGAAGCATTCACTTTTGTTCTGCATGCTTTATTTCCTAAGGCAGGAAAGGGAAACAAAATTCCTAAAAAGATTTTCTGAAATTAATGTTGCCAAAGGTTTCTTATATGAATAGTTGAAAACTAAGTTAATAATTGGATATAAGCTGCAGTCTTGAAGATCCCAGTTAAATGTTTTCATTCTTGCGCATTCTACATTTCCTGAAGTTTTCTCATCTTCCTTCATTCTGTTTCTTTCTATCTGAACATCGGCTGGGCTGATTGGGATGCTTGCTGTCCTTTTTCTGGTTTGAAGCAGATGATTGACAGAATATGCGTGAAAGTACAAGATCATCTCAACTCCTTACGTAACTGTGGGGGAGATGCTATCCAGGAAGATTTAAAGGCAGCAGAACGGCTCGTGCGTGATGCTAAGAACTCTAAAACGGTGAGTTTCACCTCAGGCTATGTGAGAGACTGGTGTAATAAAAAGGTTTTTAAAAATTTAATTTTAGAAACTAGTTTGAACTTTGTTTACCTCTCTACCCAATTCCAAGGTTACTAACAAGTGGCAGAGTGAACTGAGTAAGTCTTTGCCTCCTTTCTGTACCTGTGCTGATTTATCAGTAATCAAGATGTAGGATAAAAAGCCTAGGGCCAGTGTGACTTACAAGGGTATGATTGCGCCTTGAATAACTAAAAAGGCAGTTGTAGTTTAAATGAGTAATAACTCATTTAAAATTCTACTTCTAAACTGATAACATGAAACTCCCCTCTGTCACCTCTAAAAGGAAGCTTCTCTCCCATTAGAATATGGTTCCCAAAGTGTGCCTCAGTAGAGAAAGGACTTAACTGTGAGTCAGAAAAACTAGGATCTGGTCTTGGTTCTGCTATTAGAATCACGCAGTCATTAAATGTCATGAGTATGAGGCATCTTGTGGATGAGTCAAATACTCTTGTGATGCAGTGATACCCAACCAGGCAGCATGATGGCAGTATGCCAATCACTGGTTTATTCACTAGGTAGCCAAGCAAGGAGATGGGAGAACAGATCTCAAAACCGCCTTCTGGAAGATAGGGTTTAGGGTTATTTATCGGATAAAGAAGCAGGGTGGACTTGAGGCATGGGGAAAAGTGATTGGGGGTGAAAAAAGTGAGGTAACCGGTGGTCTACACAAGCAGAGTCAAGCTTCATGGCTCTTCATGGGACACACATTCAGAAAACAGTGGCATTTGCATGATGAGAGTGGAGTTTTTGGCCCTCTGACATCAAAAGATCACACATTGGACAGTTACACAGGCCCAGTTAAAGAGTCAGTGGTCTCATCCAGCTTGAACTGGACAAGGCTGACTTGAAATTTCTGAGAAACAACTTAGGCAACCATTACTATAGTGATCCATATGTCAGAGATGTTATCTTTTTTTTTTTTTTTTTGAGACAGAGTCTCACTCTTTTGCCCGGGCTAGAGTGAGTGCTGTGGCGTCAGCCTAGCTCACAGTAACCTCAAACTCCTGGGCTCAAGTGATCCTCCTGCCCGCCTTGGCCTCCCAGAGAGCTAGGATTACAGGCGTGAGCCACCGCGCCCGGCCTCACTTCTAAGTTTTTAAGTTGCTTGATGGCAAGGGATATATCCTATTAAGGACTGTATCTCCTCCATACCGGGCGTTCAGTATATTTCTCTAGAATTAACTAAAGAAACAGACATGGAGAAAGATAACATTTCCCATGAATAAGCTGTTTGCTGGAACTAAGAACAATTGTAACAAGTTATGAGCAACAAAAGATGGTATTTATTGCCCATAGTTCTAAGTCCTACACTGGGGTTTAATAGCCCTGTATATTTAAAAAAGCCTAAGTAGTCACCAGCAAACGTGATATGAATTAGTGGTGTGACATGGTTGCCAAAGAAGCCAATTTGACTTGTACTGTGTTAATGGATGTATATGTTACATTGTACAGTGAGGAAGGTGATTCCTGTGTTCAGCTCTGTGCTTACCAGTCCACTCCTCCTGTGTTATAATCCATTTTACTGAGGAGGGCAAAGCATACTTAGGAGATTCTAGATGGAAGACAGAATGCAGAGAAGTGACTCTGGGGGAAAGGGTGAAAGACTGCAGAACTGTGTCACTGTAGGAATGGTAAAAGGAACTGGGAATGTTAAACCTGAAGAAAAGAAGATTGAGAAAGAAAAGATATATATGCTCAAATATGTGCAAGACTGTCACATGGAAGAGAGTGTGATTGTTCACAGTGTTCTCAAGGGGAAGATATGGGATCTGTAGGAAGGATATAGGAAGACAGATAAGGACTCAAAATAAAGAAAACCAAGTCCAAGAATGCAGGGTACATTTCCTTGGAAGTAAGTGAGCTTCTGAAACTATGGCAGTCAATGACTTTTCTGTGTTGCTTTAGAGAGATTAAACACCAGGGGGTTAGGGTGAAGTAGGGATGTTAGACTGAAGAGCTCTAAGACTGTCATCTACCATGAGGTTTTCTGATGGGCTAACCCAAGAGACTGCACGCAGTCTTTCAGATTGTATCTCCTTTATTTTTCATATGTATGTACTTTAGGGACTTGGATTATGAACTGATAGTCAAATTCCTTGATTTACTTTTTTCAAAATTTTTAATTTGCACTATGTGTAATCATTCTATGTCATCTTAAATAAATAGTTTACCATTTTTGAGCCTTGAGCTCTTTCATTGTAAAGTATCCGAATTTGGTCTGTTGAGCTGTGCTCAGAAGAATCTTTGAGACATGAGATTTTGTGTCTCATTTGAATTGAAGAACTAAATTTTTATGTTTCTTTTGGACATGATTAAAAAATGTTCCACTTAAAGACCGTTTTTGTTGAGTTCATTTTAACCCTCCATGGTGAATGCTTAATGACATATATTTCGGGAGTCTCTTTGGTCTCTCGTGATGATTAACAATGATCAGCTTTATAGTGCTACATCCACATGCCTCTCAAATTAGTCTTTTTTTGTCCCAGGTGTGTATTGGTTCCTTTCTTAGTGGTGGTTTATTTGCCTCTTAAAATTAGGTATTCATTCTTGGTAAGATATGAATTATTGGTGACTATTTTTCCTTTAGGAAGCACAGATCAATACAACAGTTAGAAGAGTTAGAATTTATATCAATTAAGAAGGTTTTTAAAAACATGTATTTAGCTCTATGCAGGGCATTGTGTAAATGTAGAAAGTTAAGATATGATTCCTGTCTATAAGCTTAGATTTTAGTTGGAGAGAGAAGATGACATGAGAAGCATTATCCATATAACTGCTTTTTCCTATGAGGAGGTCAAGATACTACACTTATGTAGCCTTAGTACATGTTCTGCAATAGGAGCTGCTCTTAGTATACATCAACATTGGCATTACTTACCCTTTGTCAACAGAGTACATGCTTTGAGTGGTGTTATTTTATTGGCTTGTCTTCTGAATACACTAAAAAAAAGAAGATGGGGTAGACATCATAAACCCGATTTTACAAAAGAGAAAGGCAAGAGAGATGGCAGTGCTGCAGCAAATACACACAAGCTCTATAATAAGACCTTAAGTAATCAGACCATAAGTTTTCTGAGTAGTGAAGTTAAGTTTCTATCGTTTTGGAATTTATAGGGGAAGGAGGGCAGACTTTAGCTTCCTACAGTTTGATGTCCAATAGTTCAAAATAGAGAACTGTGAATTTAACAAAAAAAGAATGTTTTTAGATTCTCTCCTCTGCCAAATGAATTATCTGATGCGATAGGACTCTTGACATGTAAAGTCTCTAAAGAATTAATAATTTTTTTTAAGAACATGAAATAGACAACCTGCAGTTCTGATCAAAATAGTGGAGAAACTTTTTAAACCACACCATGGTTATCTTTTCCTGTAGACTTCTCTGCTTTCTTCATAAGTACAAATATAGAAGAACATACTATTACCCTTCTGTAGTATTTTTTGTCTACCATAGTGATCCCCCATTTCCCCTTTGGGTTTTATATTTAAGTCCATGGAACAACTGAAAATGATTCAGCTGCAGGTAACCTGGGAGATCTTATTGGAATAGAAATTAGAATGTTATTAACTTTG